AACGCAACGCAAAAACAGCGCCATTTTAACTTACATTAGCCGACGGCGAAGACAAAAGAAATGATAAAGTATACTACACTTTTATACTACAATCATATTCTGAATATATATGAAAGTTTGAATCCAGCACTTAAAATACACAACATAATATTTTAATTAACGTATCATAGTAAACAAGCAAAATGCTATTACTATTTCAATATGATAAAAATTCAAACAGAAAATAAACCGGATAAAAGTTGTAATAAAACACTTTTAACGGTTTAAAACGCGGCATATATTGGTACCATATGAACGATTTTCTTTGACTGCTTTGAATGCTCCAACGTTACGGATGCTGCAAGCAACTAACTTTTCTGCGTTTAAAACCATGAAATGTTTCACTTAAATGTGTACTACTCGCGAATACTACACATAATAACCGATTTTAACAGTTATGATCATTCCGTATTTAGTATTTTAAAAATAAATTAAACTATTGTGTAGTTTGCACGTGCTAGCAACGTTTTAATAACGTTACTACGCGTTTACGTAATACGTAAGACAATACATTAATGAAACATAGAAGACAACTCAACATAATTAATAATTACTTAACCTGTATCGTCGGATATTATTGTGATCGGTGCCGCACTGCAGATAATAACGTTCTGGTCGTATGTAAACGTCAATTAAATATTTAACGAGATCCCGATTATATATAATAGTTACAGCAAATATTTTAGGTATTACGTGACGTTTAAATATTTGAAAACAAGAAATGTGAAAGATTTTTTAGCTGTAGTATATGTTTCAATTAAAGTACGTGAAGAGCGTAAAATGATATTTGGCGATAGGGGTGGTGGCGAGTTACCAGCCAGTTCTTCTGATTCGCTCTACGGCCTTGATTAGAGAACTGGTATTAAATATAAATTAAGAGTCTTTTAAGCCATGCGTTCATAAGTTTACCTACTTACTTACCTACGTGAATAAAAGATTTTGAGTTTGACTAAGACCATATATTTGACATTATTATTTTCTTCTATGGGATACACCGATAAAAGATCGAGTGATCGGTTCACACTATTTGGTAACACGAAGTACATACATGAAGTATTCGACATATTGTACAAGGCTAACGCGGTCATTTTATAAAGCTTTTTTACTTGTTCAAGTTGTTTCACAAGAGTAATTGAGAAATTGTATTGGACGTTTTGCTATTACAAGTGAATGACATCACCAGAAGATACTGGTAAATTTAAAATCGTTTCTACATTTTAAAAATGCGACACGGGCGGGATTTGAACCGGCATCAACAGCGTTCGTTGCGGTGCAATAAACAAAGATTGATTTTTAAATTATTTAAAGAAATGAAAAAGTCATAGGAAGATGTTCCCACGACTACCGAATAGTTCAAAATATTCAGAAGCTTTCCACAATTGTCGTAAAAGTCACAAGTCAAATATAGTTACTAAAAAACTTTTGAAAAGGAGTTTATCAATAACTTTTCAGCTAGAAGCTCAATCACTGTTATTTTATTTTTATATTTTCTCTAATTTAATATTTTTTTTGTCGTCTAATCCGCTTTAATCTTGAAAATCATTTGCGATTCTTTAGTTGAAAGAAAGTTGATTATTCAAAAGTATCCGTACCAGTCTTTGTCTAGAAAAATGTCACCAAAAAAATAGTTGTTCTTTATAAAATGAAATTGTATTAAAAATGTTTAAACTATGCCGCATGTCTATCTATTTAGCGACAGCAGTGGTCACATTGTGAAACTTTGTTATTTTTATTAATATAGTAAAGCTTTTCCACTGCTACTTCTCTCTGCATCTATTCACTTCCCCATTATATCTTCTTAGTGAAACTTGTGATATTTTTAACAGATAGCCCACAGCACAGTTATGACAATACCTCAAAGAGATCTCTCATGTCCCATTGACCCGTTTCTTGTTTTCATGCGGCGATATTACGTTCATCCGTCAGATCTAACGGAAACGTCAAAACGATATTGGCGAAAAACAACGTAAATATTTGTCGAATAGATGATAAATTTTACACTTCACGTGTGTGAAGTATTGAATTTTTTGGCAGTACAAAAATATAGTACTTTATTATCGGTTTCTTTATTATTGTACAATTAAGAAGGTATTACCAAAATGCAAACTATTAAAAATTAAAAAGTCTGTGGTACACTAAAATTAATCTAATTTACTTCCACAAATATCGATTTCTATGTGTAAACAAAGAATAAAATCAGATATAAAAATTTGCTTACTAATTATTTTAAATGTTAATTAAATACATTTTTCTTTCACCTAGCCTTTTCTTGTATAAAAATATATTTATATAGTTTATTAAGAACCGAATTTGATTGGTGCCACCCTTAAATACTGTCTGTAGTTTACGCGAGTAGTAAACATTTAAAAAAAACACTTTAACGTTTTAAAACGCGATACATTTTAGTTACACTTGTTTAAAAAATATTTTTAACTACGGTCCGACGTTTCGGGTGCTTTTTAGCAGCCGTGGTCACGGAGGCCGCGGGTTTTATTAAAATAATATCACCCTTGTACATTTTTGATATTATAAACGTGCAGCTACAGTTATACGTAATATTACCTTTTTTGATAATTGTTTCTTATTTCTATAAATTACACATATTTTTTTATTTTGAATAGGTGAAGTCTTACACCGTGATTTTATCTATCTAATTAATTACTTGTTCTCCTCGAAAATCACTTGGCACTTAACCGCAGAACGTGTAACAGACTCTCGACTAATGTTTGTCGTTAAGTCCAACAAAAACGGTTTATAGAACGGTAACGGCCAATTTTCTCATAAATTACAAAGACAATGAAATGAAAGAGTATTTAATGTAACAATTGTTGCAAAAATCCAAGATTAAAGAAGAATTAACACGTGAGTTTACCGTGTTCCTGTAATACAAATTATCGTATAGATACTTATTGTCGCCTGAAAACAGGTGCCTCAGTTGAAAAATAGCTTCTATACTGAAGTACAATACAGATCTATTATAGATCTTAAATTCCAAGCGAGGAAAAATGTTAAAAGATAGCTTCACGCGTCTCGCTACGAAAAATAGTGTTGCTACGATTTTGTAGGCCCTCTACGCCGTAGATAGCTGTATACACAAGTTATTAGAATAATTTGAGACTAAATAAAAATGTAGCATTTTATTAAATAAAGCTTATTAAAGTTTGATTAATTTAAACTCTACGGTTTAATTAGTAAATTTACTGAACGAACGAACACAAACAAGTACTATATAAACGTATAAATAATATATTTCGCTTAAAAGATATTACCAATTTTCATGTGTAAATTTTTGTTACTTAATACCTAAAAGCATCGTAGAATAATGTTAACATTACTAGTTTATTTGTGAAATGGTATTAATTTGTTTTACCAGAATTATCTAGCACAAAATAAGAGTTATTAGGTGATAAACTGTAAGTATCGTAGATATTATCTTTCTCCAGACATTACTGGGTTATACAGCAGACGCCCTTACGGACGTAATTTTTAATTGCGTAACATTTTCCGTTCCGACTTTACAATGGCCGGCATAATGAACGTGTCAATGTTATGTAGTGAATAAATTATGGTTCCGGACGATATCGGCGACCATTAAATGCATGCAACCACTAATTGTATGCTAACATGAACATTCAACTTACTATAAAAATAAATCGAAAATGACAGTTAACGGCGAGTTACTCGAATGATTTAGTTATTAGCAAAAAACAATATAATCGTTTCTATTATGTCTTTATTTAGTAAAACATGTAATATTTTAAACTACAGATAGACTAAGAATAGTTGAAGACAGAATAAATGTATTTTTACATACATTTCAAACAATTTTGAGATATTTCTAATCATGTCAATCCATTATTCTTAACACTAGACGACTATCTATAAAAAATCTAAATAGTAAAAAGGTTATCTCAAGATAACTGTTCTGTGCCTTTCTTTATTAACAAAATAAAGCTCAAAATATAAAGACTATATTTGTCACAGAACAAACGGACCGTAGATAAATATATGAATAACCTTTTAAAACTCTGACTCACGCAACTGAATAAAATAAATGTGGTCTAAATAGCAAACGATAAGTGTTCTCTGAAATCGGAAACAAGCTGACGTTTGGGTACATTTAAGATAAGGATTTAGGGCCGAGGCACGCGTCAATTTCCACGCGAATTCTCTTATCCGCCATTTTGTGACGTCCGACCTTCTCAAAATGTCCGCTATCTAAGACGGCATTAAGATTTGTTAGGATTTGTATAATTTTCACGATATTATATTTCACAACGACTCGCTTTGTTTAATGTAGTGTAGATGCTTTTTACGTAATATTTCCTGCAAACTTTTTTTTTAATTTAACTTTGTCGTAAAAATGACAAAAATAATTACTAAAACATAACAACATGCGAAGCATAATGTAAAAGTCAAACGGAGAATGTTTAAAAGGGGAACGAAATGAGTACGTACTTATGTTTTTCGCAAATGGAAAACACGGAATACCTATATAAGACTGAAAATTTTCGTGAAATATATAATACCTGCAGTCATTTCTAATGTAATTTAGCGAATAATATAACGTAATAATTAAAAAAAAATTAGCGCTATATTATTTGAAAACTTTATTATTATTTTACATGTTATTGCACATGAAGGCACTATATAATTTAAAAATCGAAAATATATTGACTCGGTAGCTCAATCGGTAGAGCAACAGCACGGAACGCTGACGATACCGGTTCATGTCCTGCCCGAGTCGAAATTTTTTTTCAATTTATTTTCGATTTTTAAATTAGAGCTATATTACTAAATTAAGAATATTCGTGCTTCTTTGTAACGTAATAAAGAGTAAAAAGTAACTATTATTAAATATATTTTGTTCCTAAAGTTCAAAAAGACACATGACAAAGAAAAATACGGTCGCTATATTTACGTACGACGACTTTGTATCATTTTCATTTGAAAATACTTACGATGCAGTATTTCGCATTTGGCGGGCATTGTTCTAATCTTGTGGCACTTCGGTTATTACAAGGTGTGATAGAGCCGACTCCATCACTGTACTGGCCGCATCTCCAACAGTGCAGTCCACTAGCAGCTGCTACCAGTGTCAAGAGGACTGCCGTTGATATTAGTGATGAATTCATGATCTGGAAGCATAAGAAATATTTTATCTAACATAATCAACTGTCAACGTAATACATAACGGCATAAAGTTTCGCTATCACACGTTATTTCACGGCATCGAAGGTGTCATGTTACATAACAAACTGCTAAGCTAGATGGCGTTAGCGTAGCAGCCCTCTGACTTCGTTGTTCACCCTCCATATCGTCCCCCCTTAACCACGGCTGATATTAAAAATCCGAAATCCGTAATTGACTTAACTAATATATGTCGCATTTCAAACCATTTAATGTGTAAGCTACAGAAAATACTTAATAAGTATTTGAGGTTTTCAATCAATCTTAGTTTACTTGAAGTAGATAGTTATTAATAACAAAATGAGGTTAGACATAATTTTTCACATTAATTAAAAAAAACTGTATTAAAAAGTTATGGTTTTCAGATCTACTGAATGAAATGATTTACTAATATTATTACTGAGCTAAATATTTTGTTGGTTCACTAGCAACACGTTACTTTTAGAGAATGAAGAGAAAATATTTAAAAATGCAAGATTTGCGAAAAGTAAACTGGGCATTGTTTCACTATTCTTACAACGGTCTCATCGTCATATTCTTAGATACAACAAAAGGGGGCCATGGGACAGAGGAGGACATGACAATTAGAAGCCCCATTTTAAATAGCTTGAAATATAACATATATATATATATAGTGAGTTTTGAATTGAACACACCTTGAATCCGCATATTATTAGACTCTTCGATTCGGAAGTAATCGAAATCGAAATTCCACCGCCGAACCACAATGAAATCCGCATTTTATTTAATTAGTTCAAGTAATATATCGGGTTTTAAACCGTTAAAGTGTTTTATTTAAATGTGTACTACTCGCGTAAACTATAGACAGTATCCGTATTTTAGTTTCATTCCGACATTTCCTACTGTCCAAAAACAAAATAATATAAAATTTTGTCCATAGTATTTAAACAGCTTAGGACGACGGGTTCTGCCCTTCCTCGGTCAGAAGGGACTTCTTGGTAAGATGTTATGTGACTGGGATATTTCACGTAAGCATAAGCATGGGTTCACATCATTCTTGTCTGTTCTCCTCTGTCATGAAAAGAGTTAAGGTCAAAAAGTTAAGGGACGGTTAATAATATTACATATAAAACTTCCTCAGCGTTTCTTATAAAACCGATATTTTTATGGCTAAGAGGTTTTGTTGTAATTTTCTATTTCTGAAGCAACGAACCATTTCACAGACTCTGTGTTTACATCTAACAGGCACTTATATTTTCTTTTAACTTGTCAAGAATTAAGTGTTTTGAAAACAGAGAGTCAACACAGACGAGATTATGTAACAAAGTGGCTGTAAAGTGACTTTCAACTTTTTTTATATTCTCACAGCTAGGACCAAGGCCTCCTGAGAAGGCTTGGTTGGTTGAGCACGTTTAGAAATTGAGGTGCATGTCGAATTTTTATTTTTAATGACGAAATATACACAAAAATAAATATTTCTCTTGCACTATGCAGGGTCAAATACCAGATCTCATGAAAGGAAGTTGTTTGCACATCCTTATTTTATCTATTCCCTTTTTTTCGATTAGTTTCAATATCTGTACAAAGCTTTAATTAACACTCGAAGAATTGAACGAGTCTTTTCTTTGAAACTTATTCAGGAATTTATAGATTTACATTTTGTCGTTGATATATGACCTCTTACAAGAATTACCTGCATTGAAAGTATCTTGTGTGTATAGTGATGGTTAATCATCTTCATCAAATATTGTATCAGAACTTCATTTACTTGGTAAACTAACGAGAATACCCTAGCTAATATTGTGCTAGCATTAGTGATGTTACGATTAGGATCGGCATTAACCGAATCGGCACTTACAATAACCGAATTAATCTAAATAACGAAAATGTTCTTGAAAATATTTAATACGAAATACCACATATATTGTTGTGTGTAAGGCACAAATGACTTATAGACTATTTTGACTTACTAATTGTGTTTAAAACAAGTGCGATACGCTAGTTCAATTGGTTAGAGCAGCAGCGCGGAACGCTGTGGATGTCGGTTCAAGTTCCGTCTGAGTCGTATAAGTTCTATTAATCTAAATAAATGTTTAATTTGAATAATCCTATCATGTGCAATCTGATAATATTAAAGTGTCCAATAATAGGTACTTTTTAAATTTCAAAAATACATTACCGTGCCAAAATATTGATTTTAAAAGATTTTAAAAGAAAGAGAGAGGAAAAGATGGATTACACACAAATCTAATATCTTTTTTAGTGATAGAGGAGGACAGACAAGCACGGGGTCCAATTGATGGGAGGTATGTCACCTCCTGGACCCCAGCAATATAACATCTGCATAAGATGCGCTATCGACCTAGTTTGGCTATCGAGTATCGAAAATCCACAGACTGAAACCGAAATGCGACTACACTTCACGGCATTTGTGAACGATGGTTCGTGACCCGGACGGAATTATCGATATTATTTCGCTTAATACTAACTGATTTTATAATTGTATGTTTTGATATACAATTACGGTTTTATCCGTATCCGCACCTAATATACCTGGAACAACACTGCCTTATAATTTGTTTGTGTAAAGTTAGGGTATTGTTTGTTTAACTAACAAACTTTAAAGCTAGTTGTCTACATTATCAATCTCCTATAAATAAGTAACCTCTGGAGCTATGAAAATTAAACGATTACCTGGTTTTAGGATTACCAGAATAAGCAGGTAATTAATTAAATACTGTCTATAGTTTACGCGAGTAGTACACATCTAAATAAAACACTTTAACGGTTTAAAACGCGATATATTAGGCTAACTTATTTGAAAATTATTTTTGTCTTGTTATTGATTGATGTCTCCCCGTGACCACGGCTGCTGCAAAGCATCCGAAACGTCGGATCGAAGTAAAAAAATCATTTTCAAATAAGTTTACCTAATATATCGCGTTTTAAGCCGTTAAAGTGTTTTATTTAAACAGGTAATTAATTTTAATTTTTTGTTTGTTTTTAATACAGAAACTACATGAACTTTAATCATTTTTTACGAATATTTCCGTAACTGCTTTGGTTCCAGTTTCTGTTAGCTAATGTATAACGCAGTAACTACTGCATTACATTTAATTTTGGTTAAAACGAGTCTTCAATATTTGACCTCGCAACTTCGTCTGCCAAAAAATGATTCTAGGCAGAATATATATAGAGAAAATGTGCTATATATATTCACGTTCCCATGATATATCTTATTTAATTTTACACAAGGGTTGCCTGGAAGAGATCGCTCTAAAGCGATAAGGCCGCCCATTGCACTCCATAACTTGTAAGAATAATTTATCGTTTTAACTTGTATTATTAAGAATATTTTTTAAGGAAATATATTGTGTACTTTGTGTTTGCGTGTGTTGCAATAAAGAATTAAATAATTAAATAAAATATATAGTCAGGCTGTAGTTAAAAATAAGTTTAACTAATATATATCGTGTTTTAAACTGTAAAAGTGTTTTATTTAAATGTGTACTACTCGCGTAAACTACAGACAGCATTTAAGAGACAAGGCAATCGACCTTTCAGTAGCTTTTTAAAACATGCTTACTCAGCGCCTAATTATGTTTAGGGCGCTAGGTGTTCGACCTACGGTACCTTGAGAAATACGCGCATTTCCGGTTTTCCAGTTTCGATGATTAATTTGAATTTAATACGATTTTAATATATGAAGACATTTGCCAGCTTCGAAAAGGAAATGGGAACCTTAAAGAAAATTCCCTTCTTGAATCACTCCCACAACAAAAGGCGTCACTCAGGGGTTATCAATCATTTCGTAATCATTACTCACCGCGAATGAACGAACGAATTAATGAATGAACGTTTCGATGTTTTGAATTGAATAATAAGGTCGATAATGAAACTGTTCAGCGTCAGTGATTCGGAGACAACTTCCGCCCTTCCTAATTAGGTAAAAGTTTTGAGAAACGTAGAAACGTGAGATTTCTCTTAGACATCTTAAGAGTTATAATAAAAGTGTACTTTGTGCGCGATAGTTGAATTCAGCTCTTTTCCCCTTTAGGCAACTTATTAAAAGAATGTATGAAAGAATGATTCTCCTTTAAATGATCTAAAAAGAACGTCAGCGACAGTAAATGTCTTTTAAGACTAACTTTTAAAAACGACAGGACGCGACCGACGTCTTGGGTAACAGCTATTTTGTTACCCAAAATAACTATTCTATGCAGAAAGTCGCTGGTATATACACGGGTTGAAAACATCTACTTCAGACTTATTTTTCTTAAATGCATAATTAATTAATTAATAATATCTACATGCGAACCCAAAAACATTTAAACTAAGTACGTAATAATCGCATTCTAATTAACCCTTAAGCCATCGTGTTTCGGAATACCAGATGGGAGAATAAAAAAATCACCACGGCCTTTCATGAATTAAATATGGGTTATTACCAGCAAAAGCCAGCGCCCCGAAGCAGTAAAATTTAAAACAAGCCCGATAAAAATGTTTGTCGAATTTTCTCGGCTTTTCCGAAAAACAAGGTTAAATATTTGTTTCATTAGCAGACCCTTTAAATTAATGTTATGTATTCAAGCATCCGTAAACATCTTTTGCTGTATAATTTTTTTCGAAATTTTAAAAGTGGTCTAATTATATTTTGGGCTGCTTTTAAATTTACCTTATCAAAATTAGTAACACGGAAGTATTTTTGAGAAAAGTATACTTTTTAAATATAAGAACTAATATTTAAAAATTTTACTTATTCTTCTTATTGAAGAAGTTCTTAAAAATCGAAATCTGTTGCTCTGAACGCTGACTGACGATGCCGGTTCAAGTCCTGTCCGAATCGATTTTTTTTTCATTTATTTTCGATTTTTAAATTATATAGCGCCTTCATGTGCAAAATATTAAAGGTTTTGAAAAAGTTTTTTTACAAAATTTTACTTAAAAAATCGATGAAATGGACAGGACTTGAATCAACAAGATA